GTTAAACCAGCATCACACATCAGCAATAAACCCGCCCAAACACAGGTCGTCAGCTGCCGGCCTTCATCACCATGGCGATAACTGTGTGTCCAGACAGACCAGCTGCTGGACCCTGATTGTGACGCTGTGATGGGAGTAATGTGTGTGTGTGTGTGTGTGTGTGTGTGTGTGTGTGAGAGAGAGACACCAAACAAAGAGGTGACTCATTATATGCCCGATCACACACCTGAAACCCGGGAGGAAGAAATAATAAATTAGCATATTGATCAGTTTATTGATCGCTTGTTGCAAATGACTGCTTAATCTGCAATTCATTTTTGTTGTCTCAGCTGGAGCTGTTAGTTGTTGACAACGGAGACAGTGTACCATCTGTTTCCACCGTCACACAGAAACGTAAAGAGCATGCTGAAACATGTGTGAGTGTCTGGTTGGCACAGGCTGAGTTATGTGTTTGTCTCATTGAAACGTGATTACAGAGTTTTCTATACGAGTAAAACATGCAGACCTCCTCACCATCATTCCTCCTTACTGACTCACTCTCTCCACTGACTTTCTTTTCCTCTGCGCTCCACTCTCATTTCAACCTCATGTAACACCTGCACAACAAACTTTCAACCTCAAACTCCCAGTGTGTACCAACTCAGGTGTGTTAGCCTAAAATAGCCCATCAACTTGAGGATAAACAGAGTGCTACGTTACTAGTTTTATTTGCAAGGAGCTTGATTTTATGCTATATTTTATTTCAATGTATAAAATATATTAACATGATTCAAGATTCAAAGATTCAAAATGTTTATTGTGATGTGCACAGTAGGAAACATGTTTCCCTGTACAATGAAATTCTTTCTTTGCTGTCCACAATGAATGGCAACAATAAAATATTAGAATTAAACATAGCCAAATAAAAATAATAATAATAATAAAAACAATAATAATATATACAAATATACAAAAAATAAGGCAATTTGAAGGCAGTAGAGTGCAAATAAAAATGGATCTGTTGTATATAATAGATGAAGAAAACAGGACAAACACCTTCATATGAATCAGTGATGAATATTTAACAGTGAGATGTTTATATTTCATGTTGACTCAGCACTTTATTCTAATGGATGCAGATAAGATCGTCATGTGGAATGCTGCTTTATTCAGTGCTTCTTACATTTTACCAGGCTAGCTTTTTTTTTTTTTTTTTTCTGTATTTTTTTTCTGTCCTGTGATGCCATGCTGTGCAACGAATGGCCCTTTAAGGGATAAAATAAAGTTGAAAGTTGATGTGCACAAAGACGTATGTAAGCATAATAAAAAAAAGAGTAATTAGTTAATGATAATTATAAGTTTAATTTGAATAAGGGATAGGCTGCAGGCTTCAGGCTGTAGGCGTTGTGCAATGGTTAGCGCTGGTGCCTCACAGCGAGGAGGTTCTTGAGTGCGTTGGTTCTCTCCGGGTAATCCAGCTTCCTCAAATCGTAAAATGCTTGTTATGTCATTTGGTGACTCTTATTTGCCCGTAGGTGTGAATGTGAGTGTTGCTGGTTGACTCTATATGCCTTGTGATTGACTAGCTGTCATAGGGTGTAGGCTACCCCGCATCTGGCCTAATGACAGCTTGGATCGGCTCCATGCCCCATGACCCTGAACCGGAAAAGCAGTAAAGATAATGGATGGATGAATGGATAAATAGAGTATCCATTCTGATCTGATATAAGAAACCAAACCTTCTGTAGTGTCGATGAATAAAATCATGGATTAAATGATGAAAGTAGTTCATTGTAACATGGCATACAATAAATAAATATACATTAGATACATAGAAACAAGGACCACATGTTTTTTTTGTACACTTCATTGTGTCTTGTGACGACCCTGCTGGTTTCTTGTTTTGCTGGTTGGCTATTTTGGGTTTCAGGCGCCAGTGGGAAGTGGCTGGGTCATCCTGGATTGAGAACACCGAGGCCCAGTGTTCTCCAAGTGCCCCACTTCCTCATTGAGGGAGAAAGAGACAGAGAGAGGCTGCTCCCCAATGCTCCTCTTTCTATTTTGTTAAATTGACTTATTTTCTTACAAGTACATAAATGTAAACCTATTTTTGAGAGTAAGAATTGAGCTCAATGTTTGAGCCGGCCGTGACAGTCTAGTATGAGAGAGTAGGTTTGTCTTCCTTGTACAACCAAAGGATGGATTAGTGTTACATTTTTCTTTAGAAGACCATACTACCTGAACTGCCATCTTTATGTTATCTGCTGATTCCTAAAGCTGTGAGGAGCTGTAGCCTTCAATCTCAAGGACTCATCATGAATGTCATTCCCCCCACTCGCTCTGACGTTGGTGAAAGGGCTTTTACTGTTTGCTCCAGCGTCTGGATGCATGTAGCTTGAACAATGTTAAAAGCAGGATAAAGAATTATTTGATTAAAGTATGAACATATTTCTCTCTTAAAGCCTTTATATGTGATGTTTTGATCCAGCAGATGTCGCCCTTGAGCACCAGCATAAAACTAAAACAACTTGCGCCGCATTGTTGTGTTAGCATGCTAATGCTAGCGATCTTTATTATGCTCGTATCTTCACACTGCATGTAAATGTACCTGAAATGAGCGTGATCTAGAAACACAGTTAAGCAGTGAGTACAGTATGTTATTCTTCTTTTCTCTAGTCCCTCAATTAAACAACTTTTATACACGAGGGGAGGAGTCAGCTGGCCGTCCTGGCGATGTAAACAAAGTGAAGATAGGACTCTGAAAACTCTGAAAACATCACAGACAGTGGGACTCGGGTGTTACACCCATTGTAGACAGTCATGACTCACAGAGTTATTTTCAGAGGATGTACTTGATTTATATTATATTTAAGTCTGAAAAATCACATAGAAAGCCTTTAAAGGAGCACAATGGAGATTTGGTAGTGACATTTGGAAGTCGGAGAAGTGAAACAATTCTATGCTGTAGTTTTTGAAATGAATACACAAACATTACTCAAAGAAAAAAATGTGTCCCTGAACACTGTTTGGAGCTAAAACTCTACCAGGAGAGTTACAGTTTCACTGTTGTGGGCCCCCCAACACAACTTCTCTTCAAACAGTGTTCCAGGGACCAAATGTTCCTCTGAGGACAGTTTGTGTACAGAGTTATGAACATGTACCACAGAATCTGTACACTTCTCCAACTTTCACATGTCTCTACCAAAACTCCAAAGTGCACCTTTTAACCTATTTTTATTTTGCCTGTCTTTAGTTCTCTGTCTGATACTTTTAAGATGTTGTCTTGGCACGGACTCTTCTGAATAAGAGATCTTGTATCTCAATGAGAATATTTTCATGTTAAAAAAAAAGTCAAATAAAATTGAAGGCACACACTGAGGTTACAATAGGTTTGATTTTTTTTTAAAGTTTTTAAATGCTGGTACTTTATTATGTTTTATGTGTGTTTTTTTTTCAAATGCTTAGCTTTTGTGATACCTGTTAAAGGTGAAACCCAGAAGGGTTGAAAAAGATTTTTTTACACACAAAAAGTCACAACATTTTAATAATTATATTCAAATACAAAAGATGAACAATCACAAACACCCGCAGAAGACAACCTACAAAGGATAAGGGTTAGTCATTGTTTGGATTTAATATCCATTCAGAAATCCATTAATACATCCCTCCATCATCTGAACTGGTTTTTCTGTTTGGGAGCCGATCCAATCTGTCATTGGGCCAGAGGTGGGGTACACAATGGACTATTCACCAGTCAATCACAGAGTTAAAGACATTTTTAGATTATTTTATTTTTATTTTGTTAAAACACAATAACGTATTGGTTAATGATAGTTTTGTTGTTGTAAATCTTTTTTTAAATTTTTGTATCTGTTAACAAAGGGTGTTTTTTGACAATCCAGCTTGTATTATTTTGTTAGTTTGCACACATCATGTGCATCTTATAAGCCCAACTGAAAACAATCACATATGAATGAAGCACATAAAATACAAGTATCTGTTCCGGTTGATTGAGTTCAAGTTGTAGTCGTCCAGAAAGATTCTTCTTGGTCAATTTCTTCTCCAGTCTGAATTGAAAGAGACTGAAACCACAAAGAGAAGACCAAATCCCTGCCTTCTCAAAGAACTTCAGCTCTGTTAGACATTGTGGAGGAGGTGAGGGGCTCAGGCGGTTGAGGGGAACAAAGGTCCCCAGCTGGACTCTGTGACACTGTGATTACATGGTTGACATCGATGGCCTCTAATCCATCAGGCAGGACCAGAAAAGAGGATGCACCTGACCTGAATTAACATAAAAAATGAACCAAAGAAACATGGATCTGAATCAAAAGAGCAAGAGGAAGAACCCTCTCTTGACTGTCAATATGTGAACAGTCTGTTCTCAGGCAAACACATGTCTCACGTCCTCAGCTCTGGAGTTTGAGCTCTTACCATTTGGCACACCATACAAAGTTCCCAATGTAAAGTGAACCGTTTTAAAAATTGGTTTGTGCCCACCTTGATTGTTTCCATTTCATTGTTTCTTTGATAATAGATTATATACTGTAAAGGCAGCCCAATGTGTGCAGCACATATTTTCCCCAAATAGACAATACAGGGAACGCATCATGTCTGCAACCTCTACCTTTCACAACACCATGTCATTTGGATTTTTTTTAAATTTTCAACCAGGAAACTAATTGAAGTAAAAAATGTCTTAATTTATTAGTTCAAAATAAAATTCAGTGGACTCCTCCTCTCAGGCAGGATCCAAAGAACGTAATGGAGCACATGAATCACTTGCAGTATTCATGTTGTGCTCCTGTTCAAACTGTTTCCTTAATTCTCCATTAGAGGCCAGACTTCGTGGATGATAAAATGAGTAAATATAAACAAGATGTCAAAGCTGTGATTTAACATTAAAAAGAGAATGTCTTTGCCTTTGTTACAGCGTCATAGAAAGACTTGGTAGTAATATTAAACAAACACTCCTTTCCTGGGCTGTGTCCTCCATAAACACCATTTACTGTAAATCATCCAAATGAACAGATAAATATTTATTAAAAGGATGACAGATAAAACAGGAGATGTACAGTATTTCAGTTGCAGAAAAGAAGACAATGCTCAAAGAGATGTGTCAAACTGAAGTACAAAATGTAAAAATGCAGGCAGATGGGATGACAGTGAAATTGAAGTGAAGAGTAGTGTTAGAAACCTCTTTATTTACATAAATGCATCTTTACATTTGACTTTACTCTACTGTAACTTCACTAAGACTTTACTGTACAACCCAACAGGAAGCAGCAGTGGAAACAGAGATACATTTTTTATTTCAAACAAGCCTTCTGCTATTATAAAATCCATTGCACTAGAACGCCCTCTAGTGGCTGCTCACCCCCGAAAAAGTGTGTGTCTGGGAAACAAATCAATTTAAACTAATTCAGGAGGGCGCAATGACACAGCACTTGACTCATACATCTGAACATAATTGTGTTCCCAGCAGAGGGGGAAAAACTCTCTCTATTAATGGATCTACACCTTCATCATGTACGGGAGGATGTTTACAAGATAGTTATCACAGTTAGGTAAGATGCCGACGTTCCTTCCCTCATCATTTGATCATGGATATTCCTCCACTCCAAACCGTTTCATCATTCAGGAGACAGACACAGTGCACGTTTAGCTGTGGTCGGCCTGCAGCATCTTCTCGATCTCTTGGTCCCACTGGTCGTCTTTGTGGTCCGACCCGGTCACGACCTCGTACTCCTGGAGCTCCTGCTGCAGCTCCTTCTCCCAGTCTGCTGACTCATCTGCATGTAGAGGAGCGGCAGTGTTTTTAAAACCAGAAAACAATCACAAAAAATATATGTTGTCCATGTTCCCAAACAGGCTTAAAGAGTGCAAGAAAGACTCTGTGGAATATGAAGCTGAAAAAAAAAAAATAAGCATCTCTCTGCAGTGGAGCTGCTGTCTCAAAGGCCGACAGCACCTCATTGTACGCCTTCACTACATCCCTTCAACACCACAGCATATACATACCAACACACAACATATTTGTTGTGTGTTGGTTCACTTCTACTATATTGAATTACCGGTAGTTTATTTACTTATTTATTCATATTTAATATTTATTTAATATTTTGATAATATATTTTATTTAATAATAAGAATTGTATTTCATTATTATTATTATTATTTATAATTAATTATTTTTATTTTTATTTCATTTTATTAAATATAATAAGAATTTTATTGAATAATATTTAATATTTATTTATTGAATTAGTATATTGAATTAGTTATAATATATTATATTCGTCTATATTTCACTTGAATTTGTTTCTCTTTTGTGTCAACTCTTATTTTCTCTCTGTCACTTTGGAGCAGCCTGGCAGCAATATTTCCCTCAGGGATTAATTCAGTTCTATTCTATTTTATCTTAAAAATGACTTCCTCATTTCATCACTTCTTTCCCCTGCTTGTTTTATATCTCGGCTTTAAAAGGTGTAATATGTAGAATTTTATGACAATGTTTACACTGAAATATCTAACTTAATAAAAAATTGACTAAAATTGAGTTATATGTATTATTGTTTTATTGAGTACTTACATTAGCTCAAATATTTCCAATACTTATCAAAGCCAGAGAAATCCGTTATTTAAAAAAAAAACTGGGACATGTCTTGTTGTTTATCGTTGCCAAGGAAACACTGGATGTTAAAGACCGCTGCATAAAGAAGCGGGAGCTGCTACTGAAAGCTGCCGTACTGTTGCTGTAGTGCTGCTGTGATAAAAAAGTCATGTAAATTATTCTTGGATACATCGTCTGAAAACATAATCACTTCCTCGGGTCTGTGTCGCCCGTTCATCTTGACTACAGTCAACTCAGAGTTCGTTTTCATTAGGTGGCAGGAGGTGGTGTTGGGGGGGTTAGCAGCCTTGACGTCATCTTTTATTATTGTTTTGAATTTCCTTACTGTCAATTCATAATCTAATCTCTGATAACTCTGTTACTCACATTCTCAACGCTTACAGGAAGTTGTGTTTTGTCTCGTCCGGCACTTCAACTGTTCAACATGCATTCACACAATAAAAAAAAACAGAGGAACTCTAACCATCAGGAGTGGAGGCGCTATCCTTCTTATCCAGCACCAGCTGCTCCATCTCTTTCCTCAGGTCTTCCTGGTCGAAGGCGGTCGAGTCAAAAGCGTCACTCACAAACTCGGACACCCCGGGACTTGTGGACATTTCCTCCTCCTCTTCTTGAGCCGGCTGAGAGGCACACACACACGGGACAGAGCATTTTATTCACTGCTCTAATGAGTCTTAGAGCGCCTGTATCTTTTAAGTTCTCTTACCTTCTGTATGCTGCTGATGGAAACTGGAGGAGTTTTTGGTCTGACATTATCTACAACAACAACAAAAAAAAAGAACAGTGCTGTAAGTTTTCTTTATTCAGATATGGTGCTTGCTGAAGTCAATGATCCATGGACTTCCTCTGAAACTGCAGCACTTTGTGGTTTGTGGTTTGTAGCAGAGCATGTTTATAGTTGGAGGTGGAGGACAAGAAGTGAAGAATTTATACTTTTTATACATAATGTTAGGCATGATGTCCTCTGATACTGCACCACCAGCTCCACCTGTATGTGTTTTCATTTTAGCCCAGCAGATTGTGTTATTAAAACTTGATAGTCAATGAAGGACACTTTATAACCTACATCTAGGTTTTGTATGATCCAGTATTGTTCTTTTATTGCAGGATTTACCTGATCTTTATGACTTTGTTGTTCTGAATGCTGATTTGATGTCATAATACATTTTGACCTCTGTAATTGCCCATCTTTCTGACATGTTACAGAGTGTTATACATCTAGTTTTCAAGGTTTAGAGACTAAAACTAGACAATTCACTCATGAGTTGTTTTTAACATATGCACTCCTGAAATATCTCGATAACTTCAGGAGGACTGCTTCTGTTCACATAATGCATCTCACAGCGGGAGACTATCCCTGTCAGACAGGAGGGGGCAGAGTACTTGTCGTATCACTGCTACTTGTAGTTCAACAGAATGACAACATCAACAAAGAGCGGAGAACAACATACTGATAAACAGAAAACTTAATGCAGCCGTTTAATAACATGCACGGAGATCATAGTAGTCTTGTGCATACAGTCTATGCACCATGCAGCAGTAACAGTATAGAAACGTCACTCCCCCCTCCCATTGGCTCGAGCTGAATTCTCCGGATAATATCCTGCTGCATTCTCCCATCAGCCCACTCAGACTTGTTGTGAGTCTGGCAGGAGAAACTCCGGGAGAAGTCAGAGGGAAAAATTCAGCTGTTTGCGTTCACACATTCAGCTCCTACTTAAAAAATCCTTCATATAATATGAATGGAACTGAGCTGACTTATTAAAGTGTAAAATACAGACCGCGTTGACAACGATCTGTTTTTGTGCCTTTATTGTAATTTGTGCAATGTGATTTTTCTTTTTGACATTTTTATTGTGGATTCAAGAAAAGGGTTTTTTATTCATTCTTAAATCTTATGTCCCTGGTGGGGTCCATCTAAAAATAGACAAACTCAACGGCAACCTCCGCTGTTGAAAAATGGATCCGATGCGGAAATGCAAAATCCTGCAGTTTGTCGAGTGTCTACTTGAGGCTGGGCTGTAGAAGCACCGGGTGTCACATAAACATCCCATTCTTCAGTTTACAGCCTGGTACAAAAAACTAAATTAATCTGATTAGCTCATGGCTCGTCAGAACACACTGGGGGGGTGGGATGTTTTGATAACTCATCAGTTTTGATTTTATGAAGGGTAAGAGTTATTGACCAGAAGGCCTCGTAGCTGACCTGATTGACTGAAAGTTAGGGTGAGACAGCATCTGCATGATATGTTTACAGCGCAGAACAGGAGGGCTCAGAAGCAACGTTATGTTCACCATTCTGTCTGGCAAACGTTACAGAGGTATGGCTCTGTCATAGCACATAGCCCTGGAGAGACCCCCCAATTAATCTTCCAGATTCATAAGTTTATCGTTCATTTCAGCTCCCTTTTATAAACTTTGAGGACAAGATTGATAAATACATGAACCTTAAACTTTATACCATTTTGAAATAATCAACTGATGCAAGGCGCCTAGAGGGGTCAAACAAAATAGCTGAAGGCAGACACCGCCCTCTGCTGGTTAAAAAAAGTTTTTTTTTGTTGCATCAATTTGAATTGTCCCTCATTTTTAATCGATTTCACATTTTTTCTCGTGGTATTGCTACATCCCATTGAAGTCTGACCTGATAAGACGACGTCCTCAGGTGACACGCTGGTCCCCCTGTCCTCGTCGTCTTTCTGCTGCTGCTGAGCTGCCAGCGCTGTGAGCTGAGCCGACTGCTTGACCAGAGACACCCGATAGAAATAATTCCTCCAGAAAACCTCCTCCTTCACACTGTCACACACACAAACACATCACAATCAATTTCATTACACAATTTTGAAGGTATACACACACACACACACACACACACACACACACACTTCTGTAACACTACTGACTGTTTAGGAACCAGGTCGAAGCGCATGCGGTTGAGGAGCTGGTCTTCCTCCAGCATCACTGCAGCCAGCGGATACATCTGCTCCATGTCGAAGGAGAACTGAACCCCAGCTGGGGGGTCTCGCAGGAAGTTCCTCTTGTCCTAGAATCAGCAGGCAGACACACACAAGAGGGATGTGTTGATCATCAGTAATAACGCTACACACAGACATGTTTACCATATTTATATAAATGAATGATGTCTTCGCTTACAGCTGACAGAGCAAGGATCTGCTGCTGGATCGTCTCCTCCTCATTGTAGCCAACCCACGGAGGTACTGCTGCTTCTACACGCGGACACAAGCACAGACATGATATCACACACACACACACACACACACACACACACACACACACACACACACACACACACACACACACACACACACACACACACACACACACACACACACACACACACACACACACACACACACACACACACACACACACACACACACACACACACACACACACACACAAAAACATCCTTACATACAAACAACTCCAAAAAAAGTAACATTAACATAAAAACACAACACCATCAGATAAAACTGACTTCTAAAGGTGTCTCATCTCTCAGCTTCACACATCAACAAATCTCGATATTTATAACATGACATCATCTGTTCTGCTGCTGCAAAGTCAAAGTGTCCATTTTCAAAAAGGAGAGCATTACAATCACTGAAATCACCGTAACAAAAAATAATTATTTGGGTATCAAACAATCCCCACTTTCTCTTTCTCAACAGACATTATGGCAGCTTAAATCAACACTGATAGCAATTCATTCTTATATTGACATGCTTTGGAGGAGTACCACTAAGGTCAACATAAAAGCCAGAATCTTGCCAGTAAAGCATCTTTAATATGATATAAAATCTCTCAGAAAAAGTAAAAGAAGCCCCGGGCCAAGGCGAGGGTTCTTTAACATAATAACAGCTGGAGGATTATTACTGTAGTGTGTGTTCAGTGGTTCTCTTCTGATTTTACCTGATTTTTTGGACTTCTTTTCTTGAACAAACTTTTCTTGCTCCTTTTGGAAATCTCCTAGAAAAGTCTGAAAACACATACAGATACATGATGAGCAAAGGAAAGGGACATTCTTCTTCATTTATATCACCAAAGCACGTTGCAGCTATAACAACAACAACAACAACAACATATAAGACTTATATCATTCCTCAAAATGAGCCACACAGAGTCGTCTTCTAAAAGCTGCCAAACTTGTCAGACGAGTCTGAAGAGCAAGCATGCCTTGTCTATGATGCCGTCGATTTTTCCTTCTTCCACAGTCTTCTTGATGGTTTGAGCTGTCTCGACCACTGAATCAGAGATCTTTTTTGTGGCGTTGGTGGCAAAGCTGAAGATGTAACCTACACATGGAGGAGAAAAGATTAAAAAAAGACACGGTCAGCAATTTGATTTTTATAAATAAAAAAAAAAAAAAAAAATCAGATCAGAATCAGAATCAGAAATGTATTTCATTAGTCCGCTTGTTACAGTTGCTCTCAAACACAATGTAGAAGTATGAAATATGTAAATATATATAGAATGTAGAATAAAATAAGCAACAAGTACCAAAGTGCAGAGTATCCTAAGACATGATAAACTATGTTCAGGTACAGGGAATTAAAAAATGTACAATTACATGAGCTGGGTATTGCATATTAATGTCTCATATCCTCTTGTTTGGAACAGGCAACAAACAAAAGTGCCGTCAACATCTTAATGACAATTCATAAAAGGAAAAGAGGCGTGGTCAATATCTAGGACACCACTCTTACGTCATGTTATGAGTTTAGGATGACAACGTCACTCGTAATAAGACAACTGGATCTTTATAGGGTTAAAAATGTGGTGATTGATTTAAAATAAGTCAGCAATAATAGAGTGAAAGGGGGTTTCATCTTACCACCGAGTCCTTTGCTGTGCTCAGAGTTGTCCTGGTCCTCTTCTGGTTCTCCATCCTGCTCAGCTGCTTGCTGTTTGTTTACCTCGTTTTGAGCCTCCACCACCTTTTCTTCCTGCTCCGCTGTCAGCTCCTCTCTGTCGTCGGGATTCTTCGTCAACGTAGGGTCCTCTAAACCCAACCACGTCCCCAAACCTTTGAACATATTTATCGAAATGAAGTAACAAGTTTGGCTTCAAGACGAGAGATATTACACACTCTCAACAGACGGACTGATTGTGGACTTAATGCAACCAGGAACTAAACGGACAGTATTTCTTCTTCTCGGTTTCTGTGGAATTCAAGTTGTGCGCTGCTGCCGCCTGGTGGCCAGAATGGTGAAGTGACGCCTTCATGAGTTCTCTTGGTCATTGGAGGAACTGCACTTGTTATTTTGAAAGTGAAAGAGTGACTGGTTGTTCAATGTGGTCAAATTAGATGAGAAAATGTAAAAAAAGTGTCTTCGGTGCTCTCGGGAAACAGATGAAAACGTTATACACACAAACAAGGGGGAAACCAGGCATTGCAAGCATGGGACATTTATTTACACACATTTTATTTTTTAATATTTAATTTTATTTAATTTATTTTAAAAAAATCTATTTTTAGTATCTATCTATTTTTTATACATTCTTATTTTTTCTTTTTTTAATTTAAATTGTACTGTGTTCACTTTCTGTTTGCAATCTTTGCTCTTTGCTGCTTTAACACTAAATCTCCCCGTTGTGGGATAAATAAAGGATTATCTTATCTTATCTAATTATATAATTCTTTAAAAAAAGGCCTTTATCATAATGGCTAAATCACATAAAAACACCCATGTTGTTAACTTCATTAACATGGCAATACTATTAAACAATCGTGCAACCAAACTTCCCATGTTCAAAAATAATAAATATAAAATGTAATGTAATATTTCAACGTGTGTGTTTATAACATAGACTGCATAGTCTATAGTTTATTTTGATTTTAATTATTATATTTTTTTAATCCGTCTTTATTTACAAATTTAAAACAAACAAAAGATGTTTATACAAATTCTTATAGAGGATGAACATACAACAGCAAAATACACAGGAACAAGTTAATTCAAACATAAATTAAGACTAGGGGGGATTATATATAAAAATAAATAAATAAAAATCGAACTTTTCCAAAAATATACATCAGGCAAATGTAAGCAGACAACAATCTGGAGCAAAGACAAAAAACATTTAACAAGGGCCAGAAATTAAAACAACAAGAATTTCGACAAGTCAGCACTAATCTGTCTAGCAATCCTGCTAGATTTAATTTTTTTCCAGAGATAAGAAAAAAATATTTGAAATCGTTGATAGTCTATAGTTTATAAGGGACATAAATATGGACATCAGAAAAAGATACCAAAAGCGGCGCATTCCCAGCAGGTGGCGGTAATGAGCTGAGTGCGGTTTAACTTCTTGTAACAATAAGACGAGGAGCAAGACAGACCGGCAGACTTATGTCATACAATCTGAGGTCGGTTTACCTTTTGAAAACAGTTTTACTATATATATTTAAGGAGTCTTATGTTCCATAACCCTGTGTGTATTCTAGTGTAGGAAGCTTTATGTTAGCTCACCGTGATCTGAATTTCGGAGCGACATTTGACAGCGAGGTCTGCGAGGCCGTTTCCTTGATAGGACGAGGCTTCACCAGACCTCTTATGAAAAATAAGTAATTCAGAATAAAGTACGTTTTGACTTAACTTTCAGTTTGATTAGAAAACAAATGTTAACATGCCAGGATGGATTTAAGTGTTGCTTTAAAATCGGCGTATAGAAAAGAGCAATTTAACGAGTCTTTCAGTCTGTAGTTCAGTCTTTAAGACTCAGCCACTAATGTGTGCTGGTTAAAGATATGACTGATTATTTAAGAAGATAAAATGAAAACGAGCCACACCTTCATGTCCAACTAAGGCTGTCATGTCCGAACATGCATATTTAAATAGATTATTTTACAATAATATTATTGTATGACTATGATAACATGTTTGTTCCAAAATATTAATTTATTTCTGTCTATGGTTTTGCTGTAGATTATAATTTATTTGAAACGTTTTTGTCTTTTTCCAGTTGAAAAATGAAGACTCTGATGGTGTTTGATTTTGACCACACAGTGGTGGATGACAACAGTGACACTTGGGTGTTAAGGTTTTTATTATTTTCATTGTATCAATACACTAATCAAAAGAAAAAATATAGAAAAAGTAATGTTTTTTTACGTCCACAAGACGTTTTGTCCTATGCCATCAGAAACCACATGGACAATGAGATGGAAGATCATAACTTTTAATTTACTTACAACCAAAATGTCTGGTTTATCCCCAATTTGTTTTTGTTCCCCTCGTCCCAGATGTCTGCCTGGCGAGGCACTTCCTGACTCTGTGAAGAAATCCTACAGAAAAGGTCATTGGACTGAGTTCATGGGCAGAGTGATGAAATACATTGGTGAGAATTAATGACCCCGTTTGTTGGACATTCGTTCATTTAAACGTACTGTAGAACCGTTCAAAGTAGGGCCCGACCGATAGAAAGAATCTGGTACCAAGTTTTTTGTTGATCTGTTGAGATAGATTAAGAGGTGGGGAAAAAAGTGATACAGGATAGTATCACAATATTTTGTGTGGCAATAATTATGCCGTCTCATGGCCGCCAAGTATCAATATTTTTATTAAATTAGTAGCAAATATGCGTTTTACATTTACGTTTTTTAATTCCTGAAGGGGTTGCACACTTTATTTTGAACAGGTTGGGTTGTTAAAAAAAATCCTGTTCTGATTCAATTAGACTGAAATACCAACAGTCCAGATTGTGAGGTGCATGCAGCATTTTTACAGGGTTTTACTTGATCACAGTGTCGCTCAGTCTGTGGGCTCGACTCCCACTGTGTAGAAATAAAAAGACTGAAGTGAGATGAATAGACTGAGAATGTTTTCTTATCGGACAGAACAGTTAAATTTTATCTTCATAATATGCAGTTAAAAAAACGTATATAGTAAGTATATTGTATCGAGATTCCCGACATATCGCAAAATGTTTAAAATCACAATGATATCGTATCGTGATAATATCGTATTGTGGGGGCTCTGCTGATTCCCACCCCTTATTATAATAATAATAATAATAATAATAATACATTTGATTTAAAGGCGCCTTTCAAAACTCTCAAGGTCACCTTACAGAGCAGAGATAAAAACAACAAAGTAACAACACAACCATAAAATGAACATTAAAAACACAAAAAACACAAATACAGGATGTAAATAAGTTATAGAGACTGATCAGACTGAATATGCCAGTTTAAAAAGATGTGTTTTGAGATGAGATTTGAAAATAGAGAGAGAGTCGATATTACGGATTTGTGGTGGGAGGGAGTTCCAGAGGTGGGGGACAGAGCGGCTGAAGGCCCTGGACCCCCATGGTGGACAGGCGGGCGTAGATACATGTATTGTGTTGTGTATCCTTGTTATCAAACACTTGTGGAAAAGATATGAAGAAAAGAGAGTCACTCAACTGGAGAGTAACCGCATGTAGTGCATCACCGCCCGAAACTCTGGAGAGTGGTAATGCTTGTTGTAACCCCTCTAGCGCCCTCTGCTGGTGAAAGATGACTGCTAGTTTAATACAGTAAAACTTAAATTCTATTTGACTGGTGAATAAATGTAGAAATATCGGCGCATATCTGATGTAAATTTAGCCCATATGGATAGTCAGTCGATATATATCGTCACCGGCTTATATATTTTTGTGTCTGTTCCTCCAGGGGACCAGGATGTCAGCCCAGACAGGGTCCGCAGTGTGATGGAGACCATCCCCTTTACAGCAGGAATGACAGACTTGCTGACTTTAATACTGGAGAATAAGAGCAGCATCGACTGCATCGTCATCTCGGACTCCAACGCCCTGTTCATTGATTGGATCCTCCAGGCGTCAGGACTCCAGGCAGCTGTCGATCAGGTCTTCACAAACCCAGCTAAGTTCAACGAGCTTGGGTACATGGAGGTGCAGTGCTGCCACTCTCACGACTGCACACAATGCCCCGTAAACCTGTGCAAGAGGAGAGTCCTGGAGCTGTACCTGTCCGAGAGGTCTGACGGAGGTGTGAGCTACGAGCGGATATATTATGTGGGGGACGGTGGGAATGACCTCTGTCCCACTTTCTGTCTGCGAGGGAACGATGTGGTGATGCCCAGGAAAGGCTACACCCTGGAGAAACTGCTGTCCAGACTAGAGAGTCAGAAAGATGACACTTCTCTGAGAGCTAAAGTCATCGCCTGGAGCAGCGGCACAGAGATCCTCGAGGAACTGAAAGCCAGTATGTAGCCTTCATGAGAGCGTGGAGTTCAAAATGAAAAGCATTCAATTCTGACTCAAATATTGCGCTAATTCAAATAATGAGACTTTGCATGTGAGGGCAATGCTGCTCCTTTAAATTTTGAAAAAACACACAAGTCAGTGGTTTTTTAATTTACATTTTTTTAAGTTGTAATTAATTATTTCAATCACTTTTCCTTTAACTTTAACCGTTTGTTGTTTATCTCTTCTAAAAATCAACTCAAAGCCCTAAACATGTGTTTTTTTTTTACCTGAAGCTATAATCAAGGCTGTTGTTTTAATAGTAAGAAGGAGAAAGGGAATCGATGCATCTCAGCCTTATTACATCATAAACACTCAGTTTTTACATGTGCACTAATGTAAGACTTGTAGGGTCTTTGTTTTACCTCTGAAAGACACCAGTTACAAAGTGCTTCACCGTCCAATAAAAATTAAAAATAAAAACACCAACCATGATAACCACCGAATAAAATATACAAAATAAAACACCAGGTCAAATAGACAAGGGGAACAGAAACGCTCGCCTGATGGCTTTCACGATGCATTTGAAGTTTCGGGCCTTTATTCTGAGACATATCCAAGGTACACTGAAAGCACCCTGGGGTCATGAAGATGACCATCGTCCAAACGATGAAGTGGAAGCTGGCCATTTTACATAAAAACATGTCTCTGTTCAGGTGTTTTTTATCTTTACCTCAAAGTCAAACAGTACATACACAGATCATGTATTTTGATGAACTCCTTGATTTGAGAGAGTTCGATTCTTCATTTTTATTATTATTTTGTTCTTCATTGATTGTATCTTGTTTGTGGTGCTCAGCGGTGATTTGTGAACACACCTGTGCTTCAATGACTTGAACTATTTCACATCTCAGGTTTACATTTTGTTTTTGTACATTTGATGCTCTGTTTATCTTTTGAACCAGGTTTTGAATAACTTCCTCACTCTTAACTCTGAGTTGGCATGAATGGCATTAACCTTCCCTTTCTTTATTTATCTTTTAAAGGAGCAATATGTAACTTTGACACCCAGTGTTTAAAATGGGTACTGCAGTCCACATTCAAAACATTAGGGAGAGACTGGTCTCTCCTCCTTAGAGTTGACGTGCATGCAGGTTGCCATATCGAGACACTGAAGCTTCAGTGTTTAGCCAGCTCGGTCTGAAACATTTCTGCGTTCTAGCCTCTCCATTTTTCAAAAGCATCTCCAATATTGATCCTAGTGTTACCACGTTTCTGCTCTTGGAGCTTATTAGAAACGTGCAGAGGCTTTTTAGGGCGAGTAGAATCAGTTATATCTGAACCAGTTTGCTTTCCCGCCTCCAACACCTGTTGGTTTGACTCGCAAACAGAGGGGCGTCCAAAACAGACATGCCTTAAAAGCGCCTACCTTTTCTGGTCAAAACAAATCCAGAGCATTCAGGACCAGAATCTAAAGTTAGAAGGAGGACATACTGGCTGCTGCATTGTTGTCAGAGAAGCCAGCACTTCAACATAGCATGTTTCCTTAACGTCTGATCATATAGTGAAGTTCATTTAAGATAAATTCAGTAGATATCTTTATTGTTCCTTTAAGCTACATGTCTTTTTTTTTCAAAACTACAATACCATCCAGTTAAAATGGCTTTCATGGATACTTAACTTGCAAACACAGCAGCACTGTTTATAAATTGATCTAAGCTCCGCTTGTTATGGAAGGTTTCAGATTTGATGAATTTTTGTTTTTCAAAAAACGAAGTAACCCGGGACATCCGCCATGTTTCTCATTACAAAGTGTTGTTACCAGGACAGAGGATTTAGGTCCAAGCTATGGTGTTCATGAAAGTCATAATGCACTCAGATTTTGTTTGACACTGCCATATACAACATGTGAAATATATTTTTTGAAATAAATTCATATTCTTGTAATTTGAATGACGACATTAAAACCTGAAACCTCTTCTATGCACTGTTTTCTTTATGTTACGACCAATAAGGAACCAGCGAGTACTCTGCAATGCAAAAACAACAACAGCAACAACAACAACAGTATATTGTCCAGTTTTAAGTTCCTTTATGAAAAAGTGATATCGTAATGTTGGATGCATTACATAGAAAGATATTTCTTGATTATCAGTGAAGACAGTTTACATGAAATATACCAGAAACACCTAAAGCTGTTCAGTTAGCTGGTTTAACAATGTTTACCATCATAAATATCTTACACAGCCCCTGAAGTCCCAAAAAGTAAAAAAACAATAACTTGTGTGCACAATATAATTCACTCTGTGGATGTTCCTAAATCGCTCCTATGGGCTCTGAGAGTCCTCTCAGCGAGCTCCTAACTTACCTTAAAGAATCCTATCAAGGATTTTTAGCTTAGGAGTGATTTAGGAACAATCTCAGAGAAACTCTGAGCGAGAAGGGACAGAAATGTTTATCTTAGGCAATAATGCTGACAAATTGGACGCACCCAATAGGTGCAGAAAAAGGACACAGATCATGTAAGGGACATTTTTAGATGTGATGTTTTATTCAACATATTTCAGTCACTTAAGTGCGTTCCATTTTTGGAACACTGTAGTTTCACCACGGCGGACCCACGTTATTAAAATCTGCCGTCGCATAATTAGGTCGCCTAGGGGAAATGTGGTCGGATTGTCAGAGCAACACAATCACCTTTACCTAGGTCTTTTAAGAATTCTCCTAACATCTTTCCTTAACCTCATGATGTTTTCCCCGGGGTTAAGGTGAAGTGGATAGTGAAAAGAGATAGGAGGGTGCTTCACTGCACCATTTTAAATACATGGTCTTAGTGGTCTTGGTTCTGTGTCAAACAAATACATGTTGAAGCAGGTTTCAAATGAAACCAAGGCCTGAATAATTGTAAGTTATCGGTGAGAATGACTTTACATCAGAATCATGTCCTAACTCCTCAGATTTATGTTGTGACTCTTTGATTTAAAGTAGCTAAAAGAAGCCCTGCATTGTTTTTCTTCTGCCCTCCCCCGCTCATCAGGATTTAGTTAAAATGTTTAAATGGAAGCATTTTATAGCCATATACCTGGCAGCCAAGCAGAATGTGTGTAGGTGAGTTTGGAAAGAAGATCTGTGTGTAACTTAGAGATAATGAATCCTGCACCTGTAGCTGTTGATGATTTCTACTAAATTTTCCATGTAGCGTGATGTGTAGATACTGTAACTCTCACAGCTTATCTACCTCTGACAGGCACCAGATGTTGTTGCCGTAAAGGTTCAGCACACGCTCTTCACACACTCATAGCTGATAAAGTTTCTGGTTTGGATCCAACAACTTGTAGATGCAGAAAAACAACAAGGAGAAAGGGCATATGCTCAGTAAAAGCCCGTGAAGTATTTCAGGCTTTTACAAGGAGAGAAATATCATGCAAAAGCATCCTTTTAAAGAATGACCATGGCGTAAAGAAGTTTAATACAGCAAAAATATAAACAAAGACATTTTATGCATTTTACAAAAGAGGTATTAAAGTCATGTGGTGTGTGAGCATCAGCCAGAAGAAAACAAACATGCAGCAATATGAGACAAGAAAGAGAATCAAGTCTTACTTGGTGATTGACCTTGAACAGTGAGAATGTAGTGTTTCAAATTGTTGTCCAGTTTTTGACAGCACAAGAGTAATACAGCATAAAGTATTTAACTTCTGAAATCCTGCCGCTGACAGATGTTCCCATAAGATCACAAGTTAGGATAATTATAAAAAAGTACAGCACAGTGAAGGACAGAAAAGCACAAAGGGAAGGGAAAACAGGACTCAGCCTTTATGCTGATTGAGCTCCCAGGCACCCCAATCCTGCTTTCTTTCTAATAGTTAAATGTTGAGAAAGTGACCCTAATTCTAAGTTGAATATAACATTTTTTTTTCCTAATAGTCCCTTTTTTTAATTTTAAGTCTCCGTCAAAACAGTATGAACTTACTTTGGTAAATTATGGTCCAATTTAGTCTAAAATATAATATAGCAATTATAAAGCAGAAAATGCTTGCATTGCTGATTGACAGGTCGCTACCACAGTGTCCTGTCACCCAGGGTGGACACCGAACAAGCGCTCCTACAGTCTGTTCAAGCTGGGACTGTATGCCTCTGAGACTGTCTATTTAAAAAGGTACAGAGGTGAAATGGTTGAGCAATGTTCTTCTCACTGTGTAAAATCACACACTGGGACAGCATGGTTTGGTTCTGTGAGTTATAAAGGCTCGATTGCCCGTCCTTAGACATGACGTGAAACAGGGGGTGCATGATGGCTTATAACGGATCAGCTACTCCCAAATAGTTTCTGTTCCTGCAGCAACAAATCCAATATGTCCTTGGGCAAGAATTAACCCTTAACCCCGAAATGGTGAATGAATGGGATTTGTTATTTCTGATGGTCACACTACATAGTAATCTGCCATCAGTGTGTGAATGAGTAGGTTTGACGTGCATTGTAAAAAGCGCTTTGAGTAGTCAGAAGACAGAAAAGTCCATGTACCATTTACCAAGAGTTTTGTTGTGCATCGTAAATAATTCACTTAAATGTGAGTTTAAATTTCCCCACAAAATGTACAGTACAAATATGGTCCCTGTTGGTTCTTTAAAACTGACATGGTGAGGACAAACTCGAGGCTTCAATATGGGGTATCAACAACAAATCATGTGTGATTCCACACTGTAGGCAAAGATACCGACTGGCCTCATGACTCTGCATAAACTCAATAAAAGACCTGGGCTCAAAAGACTCAAGACACTAATGTATGCAAATGTGTATACATGGCTGAAAAACTCCTTGGGCAAATGTTAAATGAGGAATCAAAAATCTGGACTAAATAATATTGGGTAATAAAGGTCAGAATCATTTTGTTGCCAGCAGCTTTGTTAACACCATGTTGGTATTTTGTTATCCACATGAGGACGTGCTGCAAATTGAATGATTTAGCAAGGCTGTGATCAGTGAGGCTGCCGACGGATCATGAACAACCTTTGTTCTCATCACTTGTCGGCCATATTGGCAAACTTCGGTGAAGCTCTACCAGCATTTAGAGATAAAATAAAGCCCCTCTGACCTTCCCTGACATTCCTGTAAGAGAGGAGCAGTGATAGAAAAGATTATGCAAGTTCATTGGGTCTTGTGTTATGCTTGACCCAAGAGCTTAGTCATGAAGAGAAAAGGCAGCAAGTGACCACTATTGTAAAATTCTATATCCTCCCCACACAACAAAGAATGTGCATGAATCAATATCCCCTTAATGTATTTCAGCATTTCTTTTGGGGATAATACAAACAGTGTTTTTAAAAGCCAAACTATGGCTTCTGCAAATGTAATGTTCCAATACCTTCACCTTCACATGCTGATTAATGTATTTGAGTAACTATTGCAGCACTTTTGTCCGTGTTAAAAAAAAGATGATACTCTTGCCAAACTGCACCTCTGTCCTAACCTCTATGAAGGG